GACATTTTATACTTCTAATATTTATATTTCTGTACTGGACACAATCATAAATTAAATAAACTATAAATTAATAAAAGCATTTATTAACATACATATAATGAAATTATATATTTATAAATTTTATTTATAAAATAGATAAAATTAATGTCATGGTTAATTATGACAGTAACATTAATATTAATTAATGTAATCATAATAATATATTATACTTTAATATTATCATTCCATCACTAAAAATTGTATATTTAAAAAATATAGCAATTTAGTTGTGAACGATATGTGTAAAATATCAACAAATCATAAACGTATTACTATGTATGAAACTAAGAAAATGAAATTAAATATTTATGTACAATTTATAATTTATTGATGATCAATAAGAAAAATATTATTGTTCAACACTAAACAAATAAACTGAGCAAACTTCTAAATTTAATTATTTGCTTGTGTAGGTTTTCTTTGCTACCTGATAACAAATAGTCTACACAAAATAATATACAAAGATAATTCATATGATGAAAAGCTTCTTTTATAAATCACTAAAGCTAAATACATAAAATTCATAATTATTTATTAATTTAAATTTAGGAATCAGGTATGTAAGTACTAAACGTACCTTTCAGTTCTAATTTAATTGCTAGAATATTTATTGACAAGTTTAAAAATAACAATATAAACCTATATTATTGTAAATAAATAAGTCTATAACAATAATTTACTCATATCACCTCTGTATTAAAAAATTATTTTATATATAAATCTATAAGAAATTAAAAATACATTTGTTAGGAATGCATAGTTTCTTTAAAAAAAAATAAATACAAATAAAAACAGTTATATATTGTGTACATATTCAACAATGTTATCACCCCAAGTTTATTAGCCACAGCATACTGCATACTATTCAAATTACAAAAACAGCAGTTCCACAACCAAATAAAACAACCAGCCTATTAACGTGACCTACAGTATCATAAAATCATAATGTTCATAAGTCAATGTGAATAAAAGCTTGAAAATACAATTGATAAAATAAAAATTATCTTTAATACATTACAATTTATAGAAGGTATCAAAAGTTTTCAGCAGAAGAAAATAATTTTTTTTCATACTTAACTAATTCATACTCTTAATACATCAAATCTTGTGCAGTCTTTAAATTTATCTCCACTTCCTCTAAATAATAAACTAAAACTACTGCTAAATTAAAACCGCAAATGTTAAAATTTTAAATTAAAAAAACAAAATTAAATTAAATTCTTAAGTACTTAAAGAAGGATTTTACTAAAAAACTTAAATAAGGAGTACTTCAAACTAGGACAATCTAAAACTTTAATTAAGGGAGAAATAAAACCTAAAATTCTTTTATAAAAAAAAGAAAAAAAGAATCCATTATGAAAATAAAAAATTGAAATGATTTGTAATTAACACTGCATAAATACAAAGTTTGTCACAACCATTTCTTAAAATAAATTAAAGCTAATAATTTAATTAAATAAAAAGTAATGAATCACTACTTCAGAGCAGTATTTTTTTTCTCACTTCCTCACCCCTTCCATAATTATTTTTAGAGGAAGTACAGCAGTATATATTATTAATATAAGTGAAATGTCTTGGGCAGGACGAATTCATAGGACCGAGTTAGGGTATATCTTGTAGAGTCTTAGATAAGGACCAAGTTCTTGATGACAAAGATTCAGAAGAAAATTGGAAAGACTGAGAATGGAATGTGAGTGATGATGTTTCAACGCTTGAACTTTCAGCATCAACAAGTGGTGCCATTTTTGTCTCCCCATTCCTAAAAATATCAATATAGAGTATTAAAAAAAATATGCTAAAAATACATAAGAAAGACTAAGCAGTTACTTCCATTGGGAGTAACTTTAGCTCAACGAAGGAAACAAAATAAAAAAAAAAAAAAAATGAGTTGTATCAAAACTGAGAGAGATTGTAACTTATTTATTGTAAGGACCAACAGGTAGCAATAAATAAGCAATTACCATTCTTGCTTGTCTAGATAGAACACATAAAATATTTTTTGATTGCTTGCTATAGCCTAGCAATCCTCAGTTCTTAGAGATATATAAGAACTAATGCCAAAGCTTACCATTTATGGGACTGCTATTTGCTTAATAATTGCTTCCTCACTGCCAAAAGTAGGAAAGCTCAGTATTCATGTGGGACATTAAAACATTTTTGGCCTCAGAATCGAAAATTTCCAATTCTGTTTTGTTTTAGAGAAGAAACACATTTAGTTCCGAGTCTATCTGTAGTCAAATCCAAGTGAAGGGCATACATATCACCTACTACTTTTTATGAAATGTTGATAAGAATTTTTGATACTGAATGTGAAATGATTTGATACTAGATCTATTGATCAGGTTATTTGATAAATAAAAAACAAATAAAATTTTAATATTTCTACCGTCTTGTCTTATTATTGCAGATGATAGTTTAATGTTGTGAAAACCTATGAAATCCAGTCTAAATTGGATTAACCATTTTTCCATATGTTATATATCTAAAAATAACATTTGGGAAAATTCTGTTTTAAATTGGTAGATTGATATTATTATATCACCTCCTGAGGTTTCTATTTAACAGAGGAAAAAGAAATAAGTTAAACCATTGTCTGTTAAACCAAGCAAATCATTAACCGTTAACTTGGCTGACAAGAATCCTATCGAGTATTTATTATCTCTTGATTGAGCAGGAGTCAACAGCTGCATTATTTATACACAAAGAAATAATGCTATACTTAGATTGGATTGTAACAGTTTTTGTTCAATTCATAGATAAAGGTAGAGCTGATAGCGTTTACTCGCTGAGGAGGATATTAGTAAGCAAGGATCAAACATTATTGGATTTGATTTTTAACCATAATTTGGAAAAACTATTGTTAATCTAAAACACTTTTATATTTTATGTGTATTGATATTGTATCTGAAATTAATAGTTCAGAAATTATACCCACTCAAATGGGAACAGTAAAAAATGCTACCATATAGCCCTTGTAATACATGTCACCAATCATTATTACATATCCTACCAAATACTAAACTAAATAAGAGATACTTGTAAGGAATAATAATGAACAAAAAAATAGAGAGACAAAATACAGGAATATATATCAGTAGCACGTCATAATATCTTAAATTAGTCAACTTGTTGTGATGTATTCTGGGTTATTAGTACATATTTCACAGTAGTACTAGACCAATAATTTAATAGAACCTTTTAATAAATGTTTTTTAATTTAAATTGTAGAGTGATTTGGGTACGAGGGTGGTCTGAAAAGTTTCCGACCTCAACGTAAAAAGGCACCACTTGTAAATAAAATCAAGTGAATTTCGTTATTCATCTGTTGACAATTACCCACCAAAGTTTCACGCATTTTGGACGCGCAGTTTTTATGTAACAGTTGTTTGAGTGAGTTGATGAGGGTGTTTTTGTGAAAATAGACAAAATCGAGTATCGAGCTGTCATTAAATATTTGTTTTTGAAAGGCAATACGTCTAAGAAAATCAAAGATGAGTTGGATTCTGTGTATGAGGACTCTGCACCATCATTTACCACAGTGAAATTTTGTGCAGCTAAATTTAAACGTGGCTATAAGAGCTTGGGAGATGATGAAATTTCGGGACGTCGAAAAACTGCAACTACCGATGAAAACATAGCCAAAGTTCACCAAATGGTGCTGGACGACTGCCGAATTAAAGTGAGGGAGATAGCAGAGGTTATGAACATGTCAAAAGAACGTGTTTGTTACATATTAAATCAACATTTAGATATGAGAAAGCTGTCTGTACGTTGGGTGCCGCATTTGCTCACATTAGACCAAAAATGTGTTTGAATTTCCATTTGCATTTTCAACACTCTGTTGGTGCAGTTTAGACACAAATCTGACTTTTTGCGCCGGTTAATTACTGTAGATGAAACTTGGATACACTACTATATGCCTGAAACAAAAATACAGTCCAAACTTTGAACTGCAAAGGAGGAACCGGCTAAAAAAAAAAGCAAAAACTGTTTTCTCGGCTGAGAAAGTGATGGCGGCTGTTCTTTGGGATGTTAATGGAGTTATTTTAATTGAATATCTTCAAAAAGAAAAAACACTACAGGAGCATACTACGCACCATTAATAGACAAGCTGAAGTCAGAACGTGCGAAAAAATGGCAACATTTGCAGAAAAAGAAATCTTGTTTCACCAAGACAACCTCACCGTCTTACACCTCAGCGGTTGCCATGACGAAAATCCACAAATTATTGTTTGAACTGCTTGACCATCGGCCTCACTCACCAGATCTAGCTCCAAGCGACTTCTTTTTGTTTCCTTATCTAAAAATTGCACTAGGAGGACAGAGATTTTCGTCAAAGGAGAAGGCAATCACCTTCGCGAACAATCATTTTGAAGAGAAAAACACCGAGTACTTTTTTGCTGGGTTACAGAGATGGGAGCATCCCTGGCAGAAGTGTGTAGAGTTACAAGGAGACTATGTTGAAAAATAAAAAAAAAATTTCAGAAAAATGGCTTGTATTTTTGTATTAGGTCGGAAACTTTTCAGATCACCCTCGTAAGATTATGCTAAGAAAAAAGTGAAAGTCCTTTCAAAATTAGTAAAAAGGTCCCTTACATAAAAATAATATTAGATTTAGATAAAAATGTATAAATGTTATTGTTGGATTTAAGTAGCAAAAACTGACTTATGTATGTACTGACAATAAAAATACATTGTAAATACAATGGCACTCATTTTATCCTTCACTATAAATTAATAATAATAAAATCCTTATTTACAACAGTAGGCAGTACAAGGGATCTCTAAACTTTTTAGCCTTTAAGTCGCACTGACTCTTCCTAAAAGTACCAAAACAAATTTACCAGTGAGTGCCAAGAGGCATGACCATCTCAGCTTATCATGTTAATGATATATATATTTTTTTAAGGTTAAAATTATAGACCATGTAGATCATTGATCATGTGATGTGGTCTTGTTACAGAGATGTATTGCTTGTGGGAGCACAGATAGCCTGAAGAGGGTCATTCAAAAATTCATGATGCAGTAGACCATGGTTTGCGAAGGTTCATCCATATGAAAATCATACTAATATTTATATAAGCTTTTTATTTAGATCTTGAGATCTAGTATCAATCTTATAAGTAAACTCCCTGTCAAAAGTATCGCAACACTGAAATATTTGAATTTTCCTAAACATCTGTTTTTTTTTTCATAATAAAGAAAGGTTCTGAAGTCTATAATAAACACTTTTAAACTACACATTAACAAGTTTTGTTAAAATAAATTACAATATTTCTTCCAATAACCAAATAAGACCTTTTCCTCCTCTGGCTTGAATGACTGCTTCCCCTCATCTAGGCAAACTTGTAAAAAGATTTGGAAGAAAATCTTGGGGTATATTGTTTCACTCCTCCAATACAGCTGCCTTTAGCATTTCAAGAGTAATAGGAGGTAAATCTTGTGACTGAACCTTTCTTTTGAGATAATCCCAAACATGCTCAATTGGCTTAAGGTCAAGACTTCTTACTGGCCAATCAATGGTGTAGATATTTATGGTGTTCAGGTACTCAGAAAAACATCTTGCCTTGTGAGGACCGGCATTAGCAACGATTCAGAGCCTATGAACAGCATAAAAAGGCACTACATGATCTTGAAGAATCATTTTTACATACCTTAAAGCATTCAAGGCCACTCCTTAGATTGGCACTAACTCAGTAAGTGCCTCCCAAGATATGTTGCTCCAGAACATGAAAGAACATCTCTCCCCCCCTCCCTCCAAATGGCTCGGTTCTAACGTGCAGCACTGACTATACTGTTCTCCAAACTCTTTCACAGCCATCTGATCTGTTAAGGGCCACTGTCGTCTCATCAGTGGAACTTTTTCCCATTCCTCCACAGTCCAAGATTGGTGTTCCCTTGCAAATCTCAATCTTTTTACGCAGTGTTCTGAGGTAAGAAGAGGACCTTTCACTGGTCTTCTCTTGAGCTGAGGTAGAAGTCTCTCTCAGTCTTCTAATGACCGTTAACTCCGAGAATGTATCCCTAGAACACCAGCGATCAAGTTTTTAATGGAAGAAGCTGTAGAATTACGCTTCCGAAGTGCGTGCATTTTTATGAAGTTGTCATCTATGGGATTAGTAATCCTGGTGTTGGTCGCCTGAAATGACTACCAGTCTTCATGTACCTTTTTATGGGTTCCCTGTACCTTGAAATGGAAGATTAGTGAATCCCAAGGTGATTATGAATGTAACGCAATGATTTGCCTTCTTCAGAGAGAGTGATGATTCTGACCGAATCATCGTAGCTTAAACGATTCATTATGAATAAAATTAATTATCATAACTAGACTAAAGAGAAAAAAGAGAACAGACTTGAGGCAAATGAAAGATAAACATGGACTGAAAGGATATTTGAGATGAATAAACCAAAATTCCATCATGTGTAAATAAACAGTGAATAACAATGATGTATCTAATCCCTAATATCTCTCATTTAATAATAATATTATTTTAAATACAAACACAGTATGGATTAAGGTAAAAAAACAAGGAAATATCGAGAATCATGGATGTTACAATACTTTTGATGGGGAGTGTATTTATTTGCCTCTACTTAAGGGGTGTATAGGCTGTATACCTGTATACATGGTGTCAAATAAAAAGAGGAAAACATTTAAAAGGTTGATAGTAGACATCTAGATCTACAAAAAAGTTCATACGGGGGCGGGGTGGCCGAATAGGCTAAAGCGTGTGCACAACACCGCTAGTTGCCTGGCAACCGGATAACAGAGATTTGAGATGATATAAAAAGTACGAGTTCGCGTCCCGGTGCCGGAGGGGATTTTAAATTCCCCGCCCTCACCCCCTGGCCCGGGAAAATCCCGTATAGCCTAAAAGGCGAGGTAGGGAAGAACAAAAAAAAAAAAAAAAAAAAAGTTCATATAAACAATTGCACAATTTCCATCACAAAATAAAAATAAATTAAGATTCGTGTTTTTTAATGTGAGTCACGTTTTTTGTTGAATAAGAAGCAATAACAAAAAAAATATTTTATTTATATAATCAACAACTGCTCTTCAGCAAACTGAACAAAATTTACTTCAAAAGAAAGCAGAGTTTGTCATTGTTAAATCCATTTAAAGAGGACTATTGAGTGACCAAACTAAGCAAAGTTCATTGGGGAGGCCTACAGGTGTAATACTTGTAAAAACAGGTTTTACAAAAAAAAATAAATTTTTTTTAGATTCACTGCAAGTTATGTGCGATTTAATGTGCGTGCAGTCACCTAAAAGTCCATGTGTTTTCAGCAAAAATGACTAAAATAAATTATTACAAACCTTTTATTTCTTTTTTCCCCATGACATGGGATGTAATATAATTAATATAAATTTCTCAGGTTTCTTTATTTTAAATGTAAATATTGGGACCAGCTATATTTATTGTGTCACTTATAGATATAGATCACTTCCTATAATAGAGATCTGGTTGAAATCAATGTTTCACTATCACTTTAGATGATAAATATTTAAAAAACCATTATTTCCAACATTTTTTTAAACAATAAAAAGTGTTTTTATGTAATTACACATATATAAATTATTATACATCCCAAGTCATGGAAAAACAAAATAATAGCTTTGTAATTATTTATTGTAGTTATTGATGATAAAAAAAATCATAAATAATTCATGAGAACTTAGCTTAGTTTAGCCGCTCAAAAATCCTCTTTAAATGGTTTTAACAATGACAAACTTATTAAAATAAATTTTGTCTAGTTTACAGCGAAGCAATTGGAAATCACTTAAATTTACTATTTCTTTAGTTAACGCTTCCTAGTCAACACAAAACTTGGATTTTCTACTTTTCCTTCAGAATTTGGCCCATTGTTTATATGAACTTTTTTGTAGCTCATGAGATATGCTATAATTTCTCTAAAAATTTCCCTCTATTTATGGGATATCCTATATAATATAGTGTTCTTTTTAAATTAATCATTAAATAACATCTGATTATTATGTTATATATATACGATTTACTTACATTACAAATTTTTTGTTTTAATATAAATAAACTAAAGTGGACAGATTTGGTGGTGTTGGCGGACTGCTTTTGGCCAGCAGGCCATAGTTATGAGGCCCCTACATTAAAATATAGCTCATAAAACAAATCAACTTTAAACTTTCAGGGATAGCAAAAATAATAAATTAAAATAAAAAAAGAAGTATATAAAAAAAATTAATGTAGAAATAATTACCACTTCTTAAGCTTCTTCTCCATGACTCAACGGCCTAAGGACTATCCTTGGATCAGATTCAAGCATCCTTTCACTCTCTTCATTGCTAAAGCAACACACGGACACAAATCATGCCTTGTTAATCAACAGTTAGAATTAGTACATGAGGTGTCTACTAACAAAAAGGGGATAATTTTAAATTACAAAATTTTGCAAATAAAATATAAAAAATTTGCTATTTAGCTAATGAATGACACTTCAGTCTATTTTCTTGGCAACTGTATGTTTGCAGTGCAATCTAAGTTTTTATACAATATTTATTACAGCTAATTCAAAAATAGAAAAATATTAAAATGGATTAATCCATATATTGATAGTAGACACCTTGCATAACAAGTTAAAACCTAAAATTATAGTTATTAAATGAAAATTCAAAAAGTACAAACTTATTATATTATTTTGTGTTAATGAATTCAAAAAGCCTATTACAGATACATTCCTAGCTATTGTAAGGTGACCAGACGTCCCACTTTTGGCGAATATATTTATTAAGGAAAAGATTAAATCTTGGGCATTAGCAAATTAACTTCATTTACCGAAATTTTGTTACCTTCAATAATTTTTGTAGTATTTTTAAAAAGTGCTGCTTGATTGTGTACAAACTGTTGGTACAAAACATTAAAGTCTTAAAAAATATGATATTATTGAAGTCATAAATTAGACGTCAAATAAAACATAAAAATTACTCGCTCTCAAAAATACACTTTTAAAACTTAATTCTCAACCTTATTCCAGCTGAATACATTTTAACGAAAAATTGGGACCATCCTCCCCCTCCTCCGGTTAGTGAATTCCCTCCCGCTCTACTAATGTTAAAATCTGGTCACCTTAAGCTATTGCAAATGTTAAATTATAAAGAGAAATATTATATTTTCAAATGAAGTTAAATAACTAATTATATTAAAGAGTCAAATATAAGTTTTCATAGAATCAAGATTAATTCATTCAGAAGGTAACAGAAAATAACAATACAACAACAATAATAAATGCTACAATTGATCTGCATAACTCAGTTAACTAATTACTAATAAGTGCTAATAAATTTTAATGAGAAGGAGTTAGTCGAGGGTGCGGCCAAATAAATAAAAAAAATTAAAATATATAATTTTTTTTAATATTTGCCTTTAAATAGGCAATAATTAATAATAGGCAAAAATTAAAATAATTTATATATTTTAATTTTTTTTATTTATTTGACTGCACCCTCGACTAACTCCTTCTCATATTATATCAACGGTCAACCATCTCTACATCATTAATAAATTTTAAGTTCACTTAAAACTTGCAAACTAAATTACCCATTAAATTTTACAAAACATGGAAATAACTTGATACAGTAGCTACAGAATAAACTACTATTTTAAATGATTTTCAAAATTATCAACAAAAAATAAACTAAATTTTTATTTCAGGATTTTTTATTTTAGATAAATGAAAATGGTTAATTGATCTATTAATAGCCTTCCTTATATAGGTGTAGAATCACTCAGAATGATAAGCATCAAACCATTTATGGCTCCTTTCATTAAAGAAGTCAGAATTCAAAATTGAGTAATAAAGGAAAATTTTAATGAAATATTTTCAAAACTTTAAGTTTACTGTGCATTTTTCAAGTTATTTCCATATTCACTTCTAACTTGTCGTTTAGAGTAAGGTGAAAGCAACCTCTAAAATATTGCTTTACAGAGATGGGCCAGTAAAAATTTGGAGCGAGATCAAGATACAGATGTATTTATCCAACGTGTAGGAAGATTTCATAGTGCAAATCACCCCTTACATCGGTAATGATTTTATTTTGATGCAATGAAACGTGCGTCACCCACATGTTGCTAAGTGGTAATGGTAACTTTAATGAGGCTGTTAAAAGCAATCTACAGCGGGCAGCACTGAGCCCTAACCTCAATCCAAACACCTATAGGACAAGCTAAGGAGATGCATACAAAGTCAATCGAAACCTTTTTGGACCTCTAACACCTCACAGTGATATGAATGTGATCAACAGCATGTGAAGGAGAATACAGGTAGTGGCACTAGCAATGGAATGGATCACACAGTAAACAAAAATAATTATCATAATTATAAAAAATATAATCAAAAAAATTATATTAATTTAGAAGAATTTTTTTGTTGAAATATTAGAACATTATGAAATTTCAATTAGTATAACAATTTAAACAAAAAGAGGAATAGAACTAACATTTTGTCATCATAGGCAAGATTGTTTTGTAGGATGAAACAAATAATTTAACAATAGGAAACCAGAATTTTATTTTATACATTATGGGTTCATAATCATATGAAAAATATAATTGTGATTTTGAATTATGAAGAAAAAAACAAAACATATAAAGTGTTTTAGAATCATAACCCCAACATATTAAAATAAATAGTAAAAATTGTTAGTTTTTTTATATATAACTATTTGAAAATTATAAAACAGTATACAAATTTCTAGTTTTTTTTTTTTCATGGTAGCATATTTTCAGGTATAACTATGTATCATTTCCATATTTCTTAATATTTTTTTTATTTGTTCTTATAGTTATTTTTGTCTAGTGACTTTGCTTTAATTCTGAAAATTACCATATAGTAGTTGAGCTAAAATGTCAGCTATCATAATATATACAACAAAAATATGTCTGGTATGGTTCTATTGAATGATCACAATAAAAAATAATCTTTCACAAAAATTAAGGAATCAAACACTCATCACTTAAATTCATAAAAATGAATAATCACAACTTTTTAGGCCCATTAGAAATTATATATACCACAGATAGGAACAATAAATAAGACAACTTTTCTATAAAATATAATTATAAAAGAATTTTCATAGTAATGAAATTTAAATAAACAATAAATTTTCTCTAAAGTAGTTCAAAAAGCGCAATTCCAATTAAATTCATGCCTCTTTATTAATATTTTATAATTGCTTTTTAAAAACTCTATCTTCTGTAACACCTTCGACTGGTGATACATTGTTTGATTTAACATTATTGATCAATCCTATCTTTTGAAATGAATATAATATCTTTAAAACATATTGGCTGGAAACTTACTCTTAGTAGCCGATGAAGCAACTCAATAGTCTATGTATACTTTTCTTCTTATGCACTGCAAATGGATATTAGACAAAGTAATGGGACTAAAGAATAAATTGAACAGATTTAGGGAGATTAGAAGAAGAATACCTAGATAGGAATAAATTCTGGGTAACAGTGAATAAGATGAAGGTCCCAGTAGAAAGATGAAAAAGGAAGGAAAGAAATGGACAGAACGGAAAAAAATAAATGAGTGAAAAATGAAGAATGTTTGGGCTTAAGGGAAAGCCAAGAAATAATAATATACACACTGGCCTTTATAGCAAATAAAAAAAAAATTACTGAGTTTTGGAGAAAATATATTAAACATCTACAAATTAAACCGAGCCACATTCATTAAAACTATTCCAATTGAATTTTAACATGGCTATCTAATGCGTTAGAATTTCGGTTTTGATTGATTAAAGAAAAAAAAAAAAAAAAAATTGCAGTAACATTAACATACTAAGATGAATAACTAAAATGTTAAATTTCAGAGGCTAAAGATTTTATAAGAAAGCCTTCAGAGCAAATCAGAAGCCACACAATATGCTACATAGCTCAAGCATGAGTGTGAACAACCAAATAAGGTATGGAACTAATAGGGTATTAGAAAGCAACAAATTGTTGACTGACTTCCTTATTTACCATCAAACTATTCTTAAATGAACCTATAAAAATGTAAC